CCAGAAGCTGTGTTTAGACCGGCCTGAGAGTGAGAGCCAGTCTCAGGAAGCCACCGCCCATTTGTTTTACTTCCAGAAACCCCACTGGGTCCTCAAAGTGAAGAGCCAATAAAGACCTCCCCATCCCATGGCTCTGGGTGGGGAGGGTAAGAGTAACTAACCATAGTGAAATGAACCCAGAACCTTCTCCATGATGAAAAGAAGTTTTCTTTGCTCTCCAAAGGAAAAGACTTCACCAGAGTCTTATCCAATCTGGGGAATGGACATTTCTCTGGCTCCAGCCCCCTTCTAGCCTTCCTGTCTCACTTCACGGGGTTGGAAAAGACTATACAAGAGGAAACACTGATGAAGGTCGCGGCCCAGGGACACAGACCCACTAAAAAGGCTGAGACTTAGAAGATTATAGACCACTGGCCCTCCCCAACACCCTACAACCACATCAGCAGGGCTGTGATGTAACACCAGCGATTACAGTGGGAAGAGCTAAGAGATGCACATTCTCTGAGGAGGAGTACTTAAGGAAGCCCAGAGTCAAAAGGGGAGACAAAAACAAGGACACTGGAGGAATTTGAGCCCCCTGGCACCTGCAGCTCCAGCAAACATGACACACAACCCAATTTCCAGCCAGATTAATGTAAAACCTCATAGTAAAGTCTTATTTACCTCAGTTCCTATTACCCTATATATCATGTCTAGCCTCAATAAAAAATTACAAAAATTAAAAGGCAAGGAAAAAAAGTCTGCAGAGACAAAGCAAACATCAGAACCAGACTTAGATATGACACAGATGTTGAATTACTGGCCAGGGAACTTAAATAACTATGATTATTAATTTTAAACCAATGAAATTATGATGGTAAGAGTAAAATCTTGACTATCAAATGCCTTAACAAAGGAGCAGCTGCTCTGTGGAGGCAAAGTTCCCAAACACAATACACATGTGGATGTCACTGGCCACAGGGAGGAAGGGGTGACAAGCTGATGCCTGCAAAGCCCTGGACCTTGTCTGCTCACCAAGTCTGAGTCCACTTTGCCTTTTGAACATTTCCCTCTTTTACAGAAAGGGTAAAGCATTACAATGAAAGGATTTCCTGGGCAGGTAGCACAACATAGCACCTTTTCAGCAAATAATCTAGCCAATCAAACATGGAAAGTGCCTCCTGTCAAGTGGCATTCCCTAGTGGGGAACCATCTCAACTCTGACTGGTCTGCATTATGAAAAACTTTCCTCCAATTTTCACACCATTTGTACAAGGAACCGCAGGCACCAGTGCTCTTCAGCCCTTCTCTTCCACCTGCAGAGTGGCTGGGTGAAGTGCAGACCCTACCTTACCATGTCTATAATTTGTGCTTGAGCACTCCAAGGTGGGCTTTACCCCCAAACTGTAAGTTCTTTCCTACTTCTCTTTCAACAAAATTCCAGAATGCAGATCATTAAAATCTCATCTTTTTTTTAAGTATAAGATTAAAAGGTTTTGCTAGTTACTGCCTAAGGTTCAGGTTTCTCATAGAAATCTTGTCTTTCTTTCTTAAAAGATTTCATATTTTGAATAACTCGTTGGTCTATACTTTGACTAGAGGAGTTTACATTGTGAGGCAAGATATGATAAGAAAAAAAGTCACTAAATTACAATCCAGTTCCTTTGGTGGGTTCTATTACTATTTAATCCTATCCTTAGGTGAAGCTTTATTTATGAAATAGTCTTTTTGCAAAGTTATAAGATTGTACTCTTTAACAACATTTTCTTGTGCTTTCCCTTTTCTTGTGCATACATATTAAGTTTCTCTTTTGAACTGGGCAAACATTCCTACAACCTTCTGCTCTTTACCTTTGGCTAGGAATTTTAACCCATGCCACATGTTACCTTCCATGATCCTCAGCTCCAGAACAGTGTTTGTGCAAACCACGCAATTACACACAATTTGTTCAACTTTCACTGTGTGCACTTGCATGACCCCGAGCGTAAGCACCTCCTGAATGTTGTGCCCTCGCACCTCGCTTGCCTCACCCTAGCCTTGGCCCTGGTGCAAGGCACTGTTTGCCCCCTGACCCTGGGAGCCTCACCCTCAATGGACCGCCATCAAAATGTCCCCTGTGGTCTGTCCTCACTAGCGTTTCTACTCTTCACTGGTCACACCTTCATTGTTCTCTTTGTTGTCCCTTTAGTTTATTTGTTCCATTCTTCAGCTTTCAAGTAGAAAACAATGTAAAAAAATCCAAAAACTAGCTTCTCATAAGCACTGCCAGCTTATGAAGAAACACCTTTCCTTCTGCAAGGCAATCCTCTTCACTCAGGTGGGCTCTTCAGCTCTTCTCAGCTGTTTATTGTTTCTGGGCGCAAAGAAGCTGCTTCTTCACTTGACTCACTTTCTGCAGGAGGCCACACTGAGCTCCAGCCATTCTAGAAGGAGGAGGTTTCCGGAAGTCTGAATGCTGGTCTGGCTGTAGGTGAACAGTAACAGTAGCTCTTCATGGCTTCTCCCTCCATTCATTATCAAAAAGGCACTGGAAGATGCAACTTTACTACTAAGCCACTCAATCTGCTCTGTCTTTAGGCAGTATATAACAGAGCTTTTACAGCAATTTTTTGAAAAAGCTAGAGTAGTTTTCAAATTCCAGGATTATGATTTTTTGGGTCTCTTCCAATTTAATCTGCTCCATGAAAACGGTGCAACCAGCAGTCAGATGGCCCTGACTAAAGACCACCAAGTGGCACCTCTGCTGTCCTTGCACCCAGTGAGTCCAAGTTCTGAGAGTGTAGACCAAGAGCTCAGTGACAGCAGCGTGAGAAGCCAGAAGGGGCAGGCAGATTTGACTGTGCTCCCTGCACTACCTGACCTTCTTCCTCTCTGGTTTCCATGAGAGAGGGCTCAGTAGAGAGCTCCAAAGAGTATCAGCTACAGCTTCTCCTTCTAGCACACATGAGTGCACTTCAAAAAGTTCTTGGAAAGATTCATATTATCTTTTAATTCTATTTTTCCACGAACTTTTTGAAGTACTCTTGTATCATTCACTAGGAAAAGAAAATCTACTGGAGCCAAAGAATGCCCAGGTGAAGCAGCAACTTTATCTTTGGCAGGAACCACCACTAGAGAGCCAAGAAGTAATGAATTACATTGAGGCACCTGAAGGCAAAGGATAACTCTAGCCTTAAAAAGAAAGTTGGCCCAGCATTTCTGGAAAGCACTCCAAGTTTATTCAGTCCTCACCCCTTTTCGAATGCAGTCAGCCAGCCAACCAACATCTACTGAGGACCTACTAGGTGCACTGCTCTGCTCTGTGTATGCAGGAGAACTCAAACACAGACAGAGGCAGTCCTTGTCGATGTTTCTATCTGTTCCTAATCTGAAGGTACATGGGACTCTTTTCTTTAAGTCCGCATTCTTGCTGTCCAGCAGCACTGCTGTGGTGGAACGGCAGCTCTGAGGGCTCAGGGACATAGGGGGCTGCCTACGTGCTTGTCATGCCCAACAGCTGCTCCTAGCCACCTGGCTGTGTGTCTCCTCGTGCAGACTCTGCTCCTTAGTCTACAGGGAGGTTGGGGAGAATAAGAATCTAATGGATTCATTCTGTTGGTAGCAAGCCAGTCCTTGCTGCTCATCCACTTTATTAGTTACATATTTTATTCTGAAAAACACTTACATAGCACTTGCCATGTGCCAGGCACTGTTCTAAGTGTATTATAAATATTAACTCACTTAATCCTCATAACAAGCCTATAAGAGAAATATTATTATCCCAATTTTAAGATGAGGACACTGAGGCACAGAGTGGTTAGGTAACCTGCCCAAAGGTCACAGCTAATGCATGACAGAGTTAGGGCTCAAACTCTTGCAGACTAGCTCTAGTCTATGCTATTAACCAAATACAGAGCAAAATACAGAACAAAAGGGGCTGAGGCACTTATGTGAGTATGTAACATGCCTTGCTGAGGGCAGCCACACTAATTTAACCAAGTCTATAGTGTAAAAGTTAAAAGAACAAACAACAACATCAACAAAAAGATACAAGGCAACTAGCAGCTTCAGCACCACATGTGCATCTCCCGGCTTTGGCCACTTCTGCATACTCCACAAGCTTTCTGCAAAGGATGCTTACCGGACAGCCCAAAACACCTTTGCCAAGGCAGGCAGATCTGTGCTGACCAATACGGGAGCCACTAGGCACTTGTGGCCATTTAAATTTAAATAAATTACAATGAAATAAAATTAAATGAAAAATTCAGTTCCTCAGTGGCATTAGCCACATAACAAGTGCTCAAAGAGCCACATGGCGCCGTGGCTACCATATCGAACAACACACAGAGAGAGAGACCAGCAAGGTGGGTCAGACACTCCTGGGCTTTAAAAAAAAAAGTGCCCCCACAAAAACAGGTCAAATGCAATGGAAGCCATGCAGCCCAGAGACAGTGGTGCCAAATTTCCCACTGCTAACAAATATTTTCTTACAACAGTTTCTAGCATCCTTAACCTGCATTATTAGGATACCTAAATAAATAACGCCACTGTTCCATCTCATGTGGGTTCACATGAAGCAGAAAAGCCATAATTAAAATGTGAACAGCAACTGAGCAATAAAGCACAAATTCTAGGATATTTCCACAGCTAAGGAATCTAAACCCTAAGATACTCCTCCTAATTCTTCAATCTGAAGTCCACGGAATCCTGGAAGGACTATCCTTATGACCAGGAGGAATTGCCTTGTTCTAAAATGGATTTTTGTTAATTCTAAAAATTCTGCTCTCTCTGTCCTTTCTTCATATCTTCTCTCTCCCTTACTGTCTACTTCTAATACTATTAGTAACAACTGAATTTTTATAAAATCTTGTGATAGAGAATTTTTTTTTTTCTTTGTGGATGAATGAGGCATTACTTACCAAGCCAGGCTTATAGGAATGATTAATGTCTAGTCATTTTAAGTTATAGAAGCACCTTAAGCTCCTCAGAAGATGCACATTTTTTAAACAAGATGCAGTAATAGTAATAACTATATTACATACTTGTGACTTCTTGTAAGAAATCCAAACATGGTCGACTACTTCCAGAAATACTTATTGAAACAGCCAGTGGGGTCTGTCCTTCATAGTTCCTTGTGTTCGTGTCTGCTCCGTAATTGTACAACATCCGTGCACAAAGCACATCGTCCCTAAGGGCAGACAAGTGTAAAGGAGTCTGTCCGTCTTCTAAGCGACCCAAGTTTGTGTCTGCCCCTCTCTGAAGGAACATTCGGCAATAAGAGTGATTGCTTTTGATCACAGCGTATCGCAACAGGAAGCCGTTCTGGATGTCAATGTTGGCGTTGTGATCCAGGAGGATTTTCACACAGCTTGACCTCTCTCGGATAATGGCGAGCTGAAGCGGCGTGGTACCTTTATCACTGAGCGGGTCGACCTCGGCCTTGAACTCCAGGAGGAGTCGGACAAATGAGTCCCTACCGTAGTGAGCAGCCACATGTAGGGGAGTCCAGCCATCACTGCTTTTTGCATTAATAATGTCGCTCCTGTATTCTGATTCTAACATCAAACGTGCAATCCAAGCCCGGCCATGCATGGCTGCGTAATGAAGAGCAGTGAAGCCTCCGATTAAGTCCTTAACTGTGGGATCAGCTAGAGTTAAAACCAAAATGACAACATTAGCAGACTCTAAGACAAAACAACGAACTCTACCACAGTGCAGCACATTTTAGATGGTCCTCACATTTTGTATGAGGATCAAATGTTATAATGAACCTCAAATACTTTTCACTCCGTTTAATTGAAGTCTAGTTTTAACAGAAAATAAATTTAGTAGAAAGTTATCACATCTGGATTAACGTAAGGAGAAAGACTTACAAAGTGTTTAAGAAGATACATATAAAAAACACAAGAGTTCAGATCGCCACATCCCCTTTCTTTGCTAATTTAACCGACTGCCTTTGGCTATCCAACTCCCTCATCTCTGTATTGTTTCGTGTTTCTCTTCTGTTTTGAACTTTTTGTTTTATTTTCTCTTGTGCTTCTTCTTGGTCTTAAAAAGAAGCATGTGTAGCAACATCTGCTGCTCTAAATTACGGATGTACTATGGTCTGGCAGACTGTGTTGTTTTAGGATGTATTAGGTTAAAAAACAATTTTTTT